TTTTTTAAAATTGTCTGACGCTGAATGAGCTAGAAAGTGATGACTAGTATTAATGTTTAAGTCTCGCAAATCACATAATGTATCTTCTTTCTTAACCAAACAGAACCATAACAAACCAACCAAAAGCAGGTTTATGCGTTGCTCTTCCAAACGACTTAGTCAATGTACTAGCACCACCATATGGATTCATAGTGAAAAAAATAATAAGGAGTTCTCACTTAAGAAAATTGACCTGCATTATTGAGATTTAGGGTCTCACACATCTTGCTTTTATATTTGCAAATCTATTCTCATCCAAATTGTTCAGTATGGACAGCCCTCTATGGCCTAATGAAGATGCTACACCACGTTGCTGGAAGGTTCCCAGTGCTGCTCAGTTAACTTGCTTGGTACTCTTTAAATTCTTGTTCGCGCTTTCTTATTGAAGCTTGTCTTTGATTAGGTGCGCCACCTTGCCGAACTTGTTTTACCATCTATTCCGTTACTTCCCGTTGTGTGGACACAGATAGCTATGCGAATGGCACTTACCACTACGCAAAGGCATGCTGCTGGAAGATGTTTTCAGGTTTTTCTCTCAGACTAATTCTATAAGTCTTTGGCTCAAGGTGTGTTTGCGGCAGATAGTTTCTTCATTATGCCAACCTCCTGGTGCCTGGATTCCGTCGCTTATCAGTAGACTTGTGGAGACAGCTGGGGAAACACATGAGGATACGCAGGCATACGTTACAGACTTGCTGTTATGTCTTCTCAGTAGTGCTCCTCATTTGAATCCGGTGTGTTTCCTTTAATGCATTAATCTTTTTCTCCGCTTTGCTACAGAAATCGGATCACTCTTTCACAAGATTCAGTGAAGTAGAGCTTAGGTCCCTAATTCTAAATCAGTTTTGACACACCAGTGAACTATTTTAGCTGGTTGAGCCACCGCTTGTACCCTCGGCATCCCCAACTCATGCACGGTCAACATCATATACACCAGCTCTTCTTAGGCAGTCTGTCCTCAGCCAAAGACTCCATCAGGAAAGAAAGGGTGGGAGTTGAATATATAGTGCTAATCACTGTTCAAATCGTGCTTGCCTATGCCCGTTCTAGATGCTCGGCTGTCGCTCTTACTTTCAGAGGAAGAATCCAGACTTGGAAGTGCGCTAATGAGAAGCAAAAGTGCTGATCAACTCAAGAGCGATGTTGAAGGAGACGAAGTTGATTGTTTGATGTGGTGAAGTGTAATTAGAAGAACCTTTGATCACTCATATTTTCAGGAAGCAACAGCTCGAATGCAGATTTGCGCCATTGCCGTAGCTCTTCTTGAGAGTGGTGTGGACAACGAATTTTTACTTGCAATCCACCTCCTCGAAAAGGTTAGCAAATCAAATTAACTGGTTGGTCCCCATCTGTTGGTTTGCTGTATGGCCATGATGGGATGGGGAGGTAGCCGTGCTTGTCATCGCACCGGGTGCATGGTTATGATTTACGACCGCGCTGCCGCATATCCGCTTTTGAAGAGACGCGAGCAATCACGTCCACAGTAAATTGGCGATCATTGTGTCACTGAGGGTGCAAGGTGTATTGTGCATCATTCTGAGACTGTCAATAGCGAAGGTCGC